ACATATATAATACCATTGTTACGCAATATTGATTTTTAAATCAAAATGTTTTTTACTTAATCAAATAATTAGCGATATTTTATTGATAAAAATAATTAACAGCGTAACAATCGTATTATCTCGCATCGACTTACCTTTCTGCGAATTCGTAGAAGAATGCGACGATTTTTTCTTCTCCCGATTTTCTTCAAAATCTTTTGTTCTTCTTTTTTTACGTTCCTCTCGTTGCTTGCGAGCTAAATCGCTTTTAATTTTTTTCGCATTACCAAAAGTGAACGGCGGCTTCTTATATTGTTTCTTATTAAGGTCCGACATTTAGTCTCTTCCCAAAATTTTTCTATCGAAATCGGATATACTATCAACGGTTCAGCGATTATACGAAACGTTTCGTGAATGTTTACAAATATGTTCGACCTAGCTACTTAGGCAACGGTTTCACTAACATGTAAAGAGTCGAATGTATCGAAGTTTATTGTTGTCTCCTTTCCGATTGGCGCGATTAATTTTTTCGTTTATTTCATGAGTTGCCATCATTAAAGTCGCGTATTTTAACAATTTTAAGAGAATTATAATAGTAATGTGAGTAAAATTTCATTTGTTTAATGCATACAAGTTTAATTATTGCTTTTGAAGAATGAGGAAAATTGTAATACACTTTTCTAGTAATTTTACGATTTTATTTATTATAAATTTTATTTCAAAAGTATCTTTTCTCTCGAAGCATGAAAAGGATTATAATATGCTTTTTTGAATAATTGAATTATATATAATTCCATAAATTAAATAATAAATGTGTGTTGTTTTTTTATATATACAAACATGCAATACACAGAAAATAAATTTCAGTGTTGCCACAATCGAGATTCACTGACAGATGAATATAATTATTCCGACAGCTCCGACGATAATCGAACACGATTGGTGGACACTTTCAGATTCGACCAATCACTTTCATTTACTATTCGAAAAGCTGCTCAACCATTGGCTTGCGATAAATGTGTCCAATTATAAAAGATCAAAGCTGACATCTCACTTATTACGCAAATATGCGTTACATATAATAAAATAACTGTCGAAGAAAGTTCTCCAAGATTGTCAACAACGATAACGAGAGAAAACCATTAAATATTGATCATTTCAACATCCACGGAATTTCACATTATTAGAGACTTTTTTTCTCTTAATCTAACTTTGCGCGCGAATCTTGCAATCGATAGCTTTCCGCTTGCATCACGACGGAGGTCATCCGCTAGGTCAAACCTCCATTCCTCGTCAAACGGTCCGTGAGGATTGTCACGCTTGTCACATTAGGTGAGCATCTCTCAGCAACACCCGGTATATCCGCGGAAAGTCGTCGTGGAGATTGGGAGAGTTTTTCCGCTTAAAAATCCGAATCGCGTGAGTGTGGATTTTTCTCCTCGCAAAATCGAGCTCTCTCGGATAAACGCTAATGCCGGTTGCATCGTATTCAATTATATGATCATTAACAATTGTGATTACGTTAATAGCATGACCTGTCGACATAAAATAATGATCCTAATGCAAATTGAAATACGTTTTCCTTTGAACGTTAACTTTTTTTAGATCGGGTGGGTCATACGGTGACCTTGACAAGGTCAATGTGCAGCTCACTCAGGAGATCTGTCATTACCGATATTTAATGTTATCCTGTCGATACAGCGTTAATTCTTATGAAGATTGATATTATTTGCAAGATTATTTTGCAAAGATATATATATATATATATATATATATATATATACTTGTTTATTTATTATCGCTTCTTCTAGATATTCTTTTATCGCACTGTTGCAATGTTCTTGAAAATTTGAGTTCTTTTTTTTTTTTGTTGGAGGATTATCAATTACAATTATTAATCTATGTTTTGTCTAAATTTTTACATTTCTGTCATAACGATTGTTGCGAATTCAATTACCTCGATCAAACTTCTATATTTGGCGAACAATCATGTTGCGTCATGAAATCATTCGGTAATAATTGTGTTTATTAAAGAATTGTTTATTTGTAGTACTATGATTGTTTCTTATAATACACAAAGAGCTTGACACAAGGAGAAAAAATATAGTTATAAATATTATGCAATTTTATTATGTGTGCTTAATATATATGTTATATATTTTACTTAAATTGTTGCATTGTTTATAGTGCTTTTATCTCAGCAAGACGCTTCTCATCTGCAAGTAATTGCATCAAAATGCCTATACAAAGCATCAAAGCTCGTCAGATCTACGACTCTCGTGGAAATCCTACAGTAGAGGTAATATATTGAATTTTAGAAAAATATATCTGCAATTTATTTTGAACATTTTTTTAATAATATTATATATGCTTTTATAGGTCGATCTCGTCACTGAAGTTGGTTCCTTTCGTGCAGCAGTGCCATCCGGCGCATCTACTGGGGTTCATGAGGCCCTGGAACTGAGGGATAATGATAAATCTAAATATCATGGAAAATCTGTTTTCAAAGCCATAGAGAATGTTAACTCTATCATTGCTCCTGAATTGTTAAAGGTACATTGTCTAAATAAGTATATAAGTATAAAATATTTGTTACATAACAGTTGATAATTATCAAGAGTAGATAAAGAAAGACTTAAACTCTTGTTTTTAAGGCTAATTTGGAAGTTACACAACAAACAGATATTGATAACTTTCTGCTGAAGCTAGATGGTACACCAAATAAAGCCAAACTTGGAGCAAATGCGATTTTAGGTGTCTCGTTAGCAGTTTGCAAGGCTGGTGCTGCTAAAAAGGGTCTGCCCTTGTACAAGTAAGTATAACTGACGATAAATTTTAAAAATATCTAATTATATTCACTATTGGTAAATATATTTTAACATATGTATATTTGTATTACAGATATATCGCCGAGTTGGCTGGCAACAATAATATCATTTTGCCAGTGCCAGCGTTTAATGTAATTAATGGTGGTTCTCATGCTGGTAACAAGCTCGCTATGCAGGAGTTCATGATATTGCCTACCGGTGCGGCTAACTTTACAGAAGCCATGAAAATGGGTAGTGAGGTGTACCATCACTTGAAGGCAGGTATCAAAAAGAAGTTCGGCCTCGATGCAACTGCTGTCGGTGACGAAGGTGGATTCGCACCAAATATTTTGGAAAATAAGGAAGCTCTCAATTTGATTATAGATGCTATTAAGGTAAAGATTCATGGAGTTCGAATAAATTATTATTTTATAATAATTGTTTGCAACAGAATTTATTGTTAGTTTTAACAATAATATTGTTACGAATATTTGCAGACTGCCGGTTACGATGGAAAGATCAAAATCGGCATGGATGTTGCCGCTTCCGAATTTCACAAGAATGGAAAGTACGATTTAGATTTCAAAAACGAGAAGTCTGATCCGAGCACATACTTGGAACCGGAAGCATTGAAAAACTTGTATTTGGAATTTATCAAAGATTTCCCTATTGTATCAATTGAAGATCCTTTCGATCAGGATGGTTGGGATTCCTGGACGGCCTTGACTGCGGCTACTCCTATTCAAATCGTCGGTGACGATCTTACTGTCACAAATCCTGAGAGGTAATACTCGAGATAAATGCCTTATTCGCATTCGCATTTCAAGGTAAGCTTATATTTATCATACATTTATACTCGTATTTACTTATATATTCATAGAATCAAGACGGCTATCGAGAAGAAGGCTTGCAACTGCTTGTTGTTAAAAGTCAATCAAATCGGTAGTGTAACCGAATCCATTAATGCGCACAAGCTCGCTAAGAGTAATGGGTGGGGTACGATGGTCTCTCATCGTTCCGGAGAGACTGAAGATACGTTTATCGCCGACTTGGTCGTTGGTCTTTCAACCGGCCAAATTAAAACTGGCGCGCCCTGCCGCTCGGAACGTCTGGCCAAGTATAACCAGATTTTGCGTATCGAGGAGGAGCTTGGTGCCGCCGCGAAATACGCTGGCGAAAAATTCCGCAACCCTCATGCTTAAATAAAATTGTAACATATCTGTCACAGTCCGTTATCATAAAGCTTTAGCTATCTCTAATGTTATGTAAATGAATCATTTACTTTCGTGATCGCATTAGATGCGATGTAGTCTGAGGACTTGTATTATTTTTGTAACCCTGATAAAATCGATACACATCGTATACAACAATAGAGAGCATGCTAAATACAGTTATTCTAATCAATTGAAAGGGAATCTTAACTCAATTGAAAGAGAAGATAGATTGTACCGATAGACCCCCTTACCATTAAAACCGTATCTGTAAAAATAAAATTCACATACAGATTCAAGAATTTGAACATTGAAGTATTTCCTTAGCCGGTTTCTCTGTTGCCCTAAATTATTCTAAGTTGCCCACAATTAATTTATTAGATGATTGTAATGAAATCGATTGATTTTTATCAAAAATTCTGTTTTATTCACAAATCTTAATCGTAAAATTTGAGTACAATTTTTTTTCTCTATAGGTAAACAATATACGTAAATATGATATAGTTATTACTCGTAGTTTCTACTTACATAATCAATCTCACAATTTTAGATCCGTACAATATATTCACAGAGAGGACACCTTAAAATACTAACAATATAAAAGTATACAATTATTGTTTAATAATATCGCAGTCGTGTATAAATTAAATTTATTTCGTTCTTATTTACACATCAAGTAGAGGTATTAAATGCTCAGGCAGAAGCACCGTTCGCAGAGACGAATGTATCCCTTCTCGTTCGTGTTCTAGTTATCCACAGGAGATTACTTTGCTGTGAAAATACAATTACGTTAAGAGTATATTGTCTCCATAATTAATAAGGCTATCTAATTTCGTAAATTTCTTACTTTGAAGTAATCTTCGATTTCCTGAAGCGTACAGTCCTTCGTTTCTGGTAGGGCGAGATAAATAAAGATAGCTTCCAAAAGAGCGGAGACGCCAAAGATAGCGAATACTACTGTTACGCCAACTGCAGCATTCACCTTAAGAATATTTAATTTTTTTTTTCACAATGTCCCAATTAAAAGATGCTCCCAAAGCGTAAACCAGCAGGATACCGAGACAGTACGAGGCGAACGAACCGATTAGTAGAAAGCCACGTAAGCTAGGGTACGCCATTTCTCCTACTAGAACCTGGCGAATTTACAGAGTAAATTGTGATTTAAAAAAACAATCAATTTTCAAATAATACTATCAATTTTTTTTTTTTAACAAGCTATATAGTAAAGTAAATAGAAAAATCATTGATAAAATCAGTAGCAACATTTACAGCAACGGATTAAGTAGTAAAAATCCCTTTATGCTCAGACATCATCAGAATCATCCGATATTACATCGAACGATATTATAATGCGAAAACTGAGTCAACGAATTTAAATATAATTTTTTGTTATAATGTTCAGCTGTGATTAGCGTGAAATTTATATTTCGATAAAATTCTGTTCATATTA